CCCCCTCGAAGTGCCCCCACCCCCCCCCCCGGTAGTCATACCTTAGGGGGAGCCACTGTTCACCCACCCCCCTTTCTCCTGCTGCAGCTGGTGTACGGGACACAGCATTGCAGCCCGGTTCTCTGTATATGTAATAATGCTTGCAAATGGCTAGCAGTCATTGGTCAGCATGGTCACCTGACCTCACTGGGTAATGGGGGGGTGCCAGAGGGGACCACTTTGTGAGGGTAATTTTAGTTTCCCGCACCTGCTGTGAAACTGGAATTGCACTTTAATTGCAGACGAGACTTGGCATGTGTCTTCTGCAATAAAGAGTCTGCCTGCTTGCAGTTTTTTTTTTTAAGTTATGTTTCACTTTAAACCTTTTGCAAGGCTGCTTGTTTTAGATTTTTTTTTTTTTTCGGAAAATGTCATCTGTTGCTTCCTGTAACTTGCTGCTTGAAATTTGCTGAAACATTTATAGACCTAAAAGATAGTTTTGAGAATGTGACCACTTCCTGTTAGAGATCTGTTAGAGCAGCCAGATGGAAACACACCCATTCTCTCTGTTCTCTCCCACTTTCTTTTTGACTAGGACTCTCAGCCTTCTCCCCTGGCTTTGCTAGCTGCAACCTGCAGTAAAATAGGGACAACTGGGGAAAATCAAGCGGCTGGACAGCAGCAGATAATCATAGATCCCAGCCAAGGATTGGTTCAACTACAAAACCAGCCACAGCAGCTGGAGTTGGTTACCACTCAGCTGGCAGGCAGTGCCTGGCAAATAGTCGCCGCCGCACCTCCCATCTCGAAAGAAAACAGTATAGCTCAGCAAGGCATTTCAATAGCTGCTAGCACTGCGGGTTCGTCCGCTAGCAGCAATGAGAATTCATCACCCACAAAAACTAAAGTTAGCACTTCAGCTGCAGCCCCTGGGCAGTTCCAGGTCATCCAGGTCCAGACTCCTGGTGGGAACGTGCAGTACCAAGTTATTCCTCAGATTCAGACTGTGGATGGTCAGCACATTCAGATCAGCCCTGGAAATGCCACCACACTGCAAGATTTGCAAGGTCAAATCCAATTTATTCCCGCTGGTAACAATCAAGCCATTATCACTGCTGGCAATAGAACGACATCTGGAAATATTATTGCACAGAACTTGTCGAATCAAACTGTGCAGATTCGGCCTGGAGTTTCTATACCACTGCAGCTGCAGACCATCCCTGGCCATCCTCAAGTTGTGACAACCGTACCCATTAACATAGGAGGAATGACACTGGCTCTGCCTGTGATCAACAGTTTGTCTGCTGGAGGGAGTTCAGCACAGATCATTCAGTCCACCGATGGCGGGGTCATCAATGGAAATCAACTGGTGTCTACACCCATCACAACATCCTCTGTCAGTACCATGCCTGATTCTCCCTCCTCCTCCACCTCATCCACCACCTGTACAACCACTGTGTCCACCACCCTGACTAGCAGCGACACACTGGTCAGCACAGCCGAATCAGGCCAGTTCGTAAGCACACCAGCAAGTACAGAACGTGCAGCGGAAGAGTCGCCATCCTCTGTTACAGAATCTGAATCTCAGAGTAGCAGTCAGCTTCAGGCAAATGGACTTCAGAACGTGTCTGACCAGTCAAGTTCCTTGCAGCAGGTGCAGATTGTGGGCCAGCCAGTTTTACAGCAGATTCAGATTCAGCAGCCACAGCAGCAGATTATACAAGCCATACCACAGCAGTCTTTTCAGCTTCAGTCAGGACAGACCATACAGACTCTTCAGCAGCAACAGCTGCAGAACATTCAGCTCCAAGCACTAAGCCCAACACAGGTTCTCATAAGAGCCCCGACATTAACCCCATCCGGCCAGATCAGCTGGCAGACTGTGCAGGTTCAGAATATCCAAAGCCTTCAGAACTTGCAAGTTCAAAACGCTGGTCTGCAGCAACAGCTCACCATAACCCCAGTGTCCACCAGTAGCGGTACAACGATTGCCCAGCTTACACCAGTTACAGTTTCTGGCACCCCGATCACACTCAATGCTGCCCACTTTACATCTGTGCCTAATCTGCAGACTGTCAGCGTTGCAAATCTTGGTACAGCTGGAGTCCAGGTTCAGGGGGTCCCTGTAACAATTACAAACGTCGGAGGTACGTGTCATCTTTGCATATTTAACTGTATCTTCCGTCATGCTGAATGTGGCCATCGCTTAGACAGTGAAAGGGTTAAACACCAGCACATTGAGAGCACATACCAGTGTCTCCAGAAATAAATACAGCTCACGTATATGCTGCAACTGAAACTTCCTAATTGGTCCATCTAGCTTAGTCTGTGTGTGAACTTTTATGCAGGTTTCATAATTAGCCTATAAGGGCCCATATACATATATGCATGTTACGTTGCATGTTTTAATGTGCATTGCGCTAAGGCACCCCGTTCATTTTGAACGGACTGCCAATGCACTCGGTGTGTCCAAAATCAGACATGACCTTCCTTTTGTAATGCAGAGCTGTACGTTGCAATGTATTGGGGTGTGCTACAAAGCAGGTGCGTTGGGGTAACTTTCAAAATGAATGGCATCTCACCAATGCACGAGCGTTACCGCAATGACATAGTGTGAGGGACCTGTGACCATCACCCTTCTTTCTGACATGCCTCCTGCACTAATACTTTAGGCCAGTGGTAAGCAGCCTTGGCACTCTAGCTGTGATGTAACTACAAATCCCATAATGCCTCTGGGAGTCGCGTCTGTGGCAGGTGTTGTGATGGCTCTTGGGATTTGTAGTTTCACCACAGCTGGACTGCCGAGGTGGCCTACCCCTGCCTTAGGTTACATTTACATCTCTGTGATGTAGCATTGCAGGTTGTGTTGCCATAGGGCAGTGCTTAATTTGAAGGGGCTGCCTACCGCATCTAAGTCACACTAAATTAAATTACCTTTTTTTTAAACAAATCGCAACACAGTTCATGGCAATAGGTTACAATGCATTGTGGCGTGATGCAACGGCTAGGAGTGTTGGTGTGCCTGTAAAAAAAAAAATAATGGCACCACAGCGCACCTAACAGTATAACAAGCGATCTTGTGCGATGCAGAAACGCACTAGCGCCCCCATCGTAGATATGTGAGCAGAGCCTTAAGCAATGGTTTATATAACGCCAACAGTTTGCTCAGCGCTTTCCAATATAAGGAAGACGGCACAGTTACAATACAGTTCCACGCAATATGATTAGGAGGAAATGTAAAAGCACTTTTATTTTCGTTATTTTCTTTTGGGGGGGGGTTACTAAAATGGGGAAAACCATTATTTTTCTGCTTAGATCAGAGTTCTCTCTTTTTTTCTTTTTCTTTTAGTTAGATGCTTTTTATTAGATTTTTATGTTGTTTTTTTCTTGTTTTTTTTTTTTTTTTACATATCCAACATCAATTGATACATTTGTTAGAGTTCTTCTTTAATTTCCAGATCTGCAGAACTATTTGCTTTCATCATAAGATTTTTGATTGGAGAGCTGCCTTTCTTTAAAGAGGAACTCCAGGAATCTAAAGAAATAACTCTTGCAGTGGTGCTACCCCCACACTGAAAGGGTTAACTGCTCACTTTGGTCTAGGGGCCAGAATATAGAAGATATTCTTTCCTGATCCTCGGTCATGCAGTGGTGAGTCCTCACCTCTCCCTCTCCACTCTGGCTGTGCATTGTTCCTCGTTGTCCTCATGTCTAATGCAGGTGAATGGACTTGCATTAGACGTGATAATGTCATCAGTT